TATAACTATCAATAAAGAAAATGGAATTGTAATCTCTCTTAGTAAAATCCCCACTCTTGATGCTTTTGCCATCTTATCACTTGTGCTTCATCCATATACTGGTAACATCTATATGTGCTTACAACACTGGTATGCATGGAATTATTTTTGAAAAACAAATTTGTTTTCAGTTAAATTGTTGTTTAGTGATTGTGGTTCAACACAAGATTCTTTTAACTTAAACTCAGAATACTCTGTGAATTTAACCCTTGCATTGGAACAATCAAACATCAGTCTAATATGCTTTATATGGGACTCTCTCAGCCAAGTTCTGTCTACGTTAACCAGTTTATTCTATGACAAATTGCTTAACAGATGTCATTCTGGGGAGAACAATGAAGCCAAATACTTGTGCAGTGGCTAACATTACTCTAACTTTGATCACTTTTGTTCAGCACATCAGTCTGGCGTTGTGCTTTATACCAACATAACACTATAGCCAGAACATGCTTTTCAGGCTTAGAATAGCAAAGGAATGTTATTCAATTCAGTGCAGTTACAGATGAGTTAATGAAAGAAGAAAATACTGTTTATTTCATAATACCTTATTGTTGTATTTTGGAATTAAGGTGGAATTTAAAGAATCCCACTCCAAAGTTATTTGTTTATATACTCATAGTATTTGTGTATTTACAATGCTAGGGTAGCTTTACTACCTTTCTGAAAGGCTGTAAATATTTGTCCTGCTTTTTTTCCAAAAATAGCTGATAAGATTTGTTATATCTAGACAACATAATCAAAAACAATTTTAAGAAAGAGTTTTGTCTTTTTTTTTTTGCCTGGAAGCCTAAAGACTCCTCATACTCCTTCTTCTATCCTTCTCTCTTTTATTAATATAACACTTTAGGTTTGTGGAATACATTTCTCTTTAAGAACACTGATGTTTAAAAATGACAAAATAATAACAACTAGTGAAAGTGGTTAGAGGTTGACCCAAATGCATTTGGTTACATCGTTGGGTTTATAATGACTGATAAAAATTTCCAAACGATGGCCAGGCATGGTGGCTCACGCCTGTAATCCCAGCACTTTGGGAGGCTGGCAGATCACCTGAGGTCAGGAGTTTGAGACCAGCCTGACCAACATGGAGAAACCCTGTCTCTACTGAAAAAAACCTTACAAAATTAGCTGGGCATGGTGGCACATACCTATAATCCCAGCTACTCGAGAGGCTGAGGCAGGAGAATCGCTTGAACCTGGGAGGTGGAGGTTGCAGTGAGCCGAGATTACACCATTGCACTCCAGCCTGGGAAGTAAGAGTGAAACTCCGTCTCAAACAAACAAACAAACAAACAAATTTATTCATTTATTTCCAAATGATATAACTGACTATAAACAAAATATTGCACAGTAGACTAGCCATTTGCTAGGAAAACCTGTTGGTTTGAATTGAATACAGATCAAGCCGTGCCCAAGCTCCTCAGAACTCATTTACTAATTCTTTTTTCCACAGCTGGGAATTAGAGATAAAAATCGAGTGACTTTTGTGTTTTTGTTTATTTTTTGTTTCTCCTTTCCCATAGTGAACTTGTATCTCTATTTCACTGGAATGGTAACTTAGATGTGATTATGTATAAGAAAGGGTAAATGTGGGGCTGAGCACGGTGGCTCACACCTATAATCCCAGCAATTTGGGAGGCCAAGGACAGTGGATCACCTGAGGTCAGGAGTTTGGAGACCAGTTTGACCAATATGATGAAACACTGTCTCTACTAAAAATACAAAAATTAGCTGAGTGTGGTGGCACATGCCTGTAATCTCAGCTACTCAGGAGGCTGAGATGGGAGAATCACTTGAACCCCGGACATGGAGGTTGCAATGAGCCGAGATTGCACCATTGCACTCCAGCCTGGGTAACAAGAGTGAAACTCTGTCTCAAAAAAAAAAAAAAAAAAAGGGGAGGGGAGTAATATGAAAGCCAAATGCTGTAACTGGACAATATGATACTTTAGGCTTCTCCATTTTTAAAACATAAATCATGATGCTTGTTGAAGTATGAAGAACCCTATTGAAGTCTTCAGGTTTTGTTTTTTGTTTTTTTGAGACAGGGTCTCACTATGTCAACCAGGGTCCAGTGGCACAGTCACGGCTCACTGTTGTCTCAATCTGTTGGCTCAAGCAATCTTCCCAGCTTGGCCTCCCAAAGGGTTGGGATTACAGGTGTGAGCCACCATGCCTGGCCTCAAGTCTCAACGTAATACATATGATGGGAAACATTTCAACCCTAGCTTCATTTGATACAGTAGGATAATAATGCCATAATTAACTTGAAGAATTAGTTAAAATGGATAATCTCTCCACTCTGTTATGATTCGTTAATTTATTTGTGAATAAAAATTTAAAAATAGAGATTTTTTGGGGGGTGGGGGGAACAGGGTCTTGTTCTGTCTGCCACGTGGGAATGCAGTGGAATGATCATGACTCACTGTATCTTCAACCTCCTGAACTCAAGCAATCATCCTACCTCAGCTTCCTCTGTAGTGGGGACGACAGGCATGAGCCACCACACCTAGCTAAGCTGTTATTTTTTGGTAGAGATGGGGTTTCACTATGTTGCCCAATCATCTTGAACTCCTGAGCTCAAGTGATCCTTATAACTTGACCTCCTAAAGTGCTGGGATTACAGGCTTGAGTTACCATGCCCAGTAACACTTTTTAATTTAATTTAATTTTGAGAAGGAGTTTCACTTTTGTTACCCAGGCTGGAGTGCAATGGCGCGATCTCGGCTCACCGCAACCTTCACCTCCTGGGTTCAGGCAATTCTTCTGCCTCAGCCTCCTGAGTAGCTGGGATTACAGGCACACACCACTACGCCCAGCTAATTCTTTGCATTTTTTTAGTAGAGACGGGGTTTCACCATGTTGACCAGGATGGTCTCGATCTCTTGACCTCATGATCCACCCGCCTTGGCCTTCCAAAGTGCTGGGATTACAGGCATGAGCCACAGCGCCTGGCTTATTTTATTTTATTTATTTATGAGGCAGAGTCTTGCTCTTTTGCCCAGGCTGGAGTCCAGTGGCATGATCTCAGCTTACCATCAACTCTGCCTCCCTGGTTCAAGCCATTCTTCTGCCTCAGCCTCCCAAGTAGCTGGGATTACAAGTGTGAGCCACCAAACCTGGCTAATTTTTGTGTTTTTTTCATAGAGATGGGGTTTCGCCATGTTGGCTAGCCTGGTCTTGAACACCTGACCTCAAGTGATCCACCCACCTTGGCCTCCCAAAGTGCTAGGATTACAGGTGTGAGTCACTGCGCCTAGCCAACACTTCTTAATTGCTGGCTAACGTAGAGTTTGATTTTCCACCACTTTATTCTGATACATTTACCTCCTTTACTTTGAAAGTAAAAGGTATAATGTTGCATGTTGGAAATAGTTTCTCATCTTTACCAATTTTCTGTATTTTCTTTTCAGGAAGTGCCTATAGTTCTGATGTTAGTAAATATTCCATGAAATCGTTTTTAATTTAGAGTGATTTCCAAAAAAAGGAAAAAAAAAAAACCCTGTGCTTTTTTTACTTTTTTTTTTTTTTTTTTTTTTGTCAGTGGTCGGAAGACAGAGTCTCACTCTGTTGCCCAGGCTGGAGTGCAGTGGTGTTATCTTGGCTCACTGCAACCTCCACCTCCCAGATACAAATGATTTTCCTATGCTACTTTATTAATAAGTTTCTGTATCTTTGAAACTTACATCAAAATATAAAGGCAACTTTAGGTTTTGTTTTTGGTTTTGAATCATTGTACATTTTAATGATTCAATCAATTGTAAATATTTATAATTACACTTTGCCGTTAATCAACTGTGTGCCTGAAGTTTCTTTCTTTCTTTCCTTTTTTTTTTTTTTAACTGTACTTTAAGTTCTGGGGTACATGTGCAGATCTTGCAGGATTGTTGCATAGGTACACACATGCCATGGTGATTTGCTGCTTCCATCCCCCTGTCACCTACATCAGACATTTCTCCCAATGTTATCCCTCCCCAACCTCCTCACACCCTGCTGTCCCTCCCCTAGCTCCCCAACCCCCAACAGACCTCAGTTTGTGATGTTCCCTTCTCTGTGCCCACATGTTCTCATTGTTCAACACCCTCCCATGAATGAGAACATGCAGTGTTTGGTTTTCTGTTCTTGTGTCAGTTTGCTGAGAATGATGGTTTCCAGATTCATCCATATCCCTACAAAGGACATGAACTCATCCTTTTTATGGCTGCATAGTATTCCATGGTGTATATGTGCCACATTTTCCTTATCCAGTCTATCATTGATGTACATTTGGGTTGGTTCCAGGTCTATGCTATTGTGAACAGTGCCGCAACAAACATACGTCTGCATGTGTTTTTATAATAGAACAATTTATAATCTTTTGGGTGTATATCCTTGAATAAAAAGAAATGAAGTCAACCAGGCGCGGTGGCTCACACCTGTAATCCCAGCACTTTGGGAGGCCGAGGCGGGTGGATCATGAGGTCAAGAGATCGAGACCATCCTGGTCAACATGGTGAAACCCCATCTCTACCAAAAATACAAAAAATTAGCTGGGCATGGTAGTGCTTGCTGTAGTCCCAGCTACTCGGGAGGCTGAGGTAGGAGATTTGCCTGAACCCAGGAGGCAGAGGTTGTGGTGAACCGAGATCGTGCCATTGCACTCCAGCCTGGGTAACAAGAGCAAAACTCCATGTCAAAAAAAAAAGAAAAAAAAAGAAATGAAGTCAGCCAGGAGTTGAAAACAAGAGAGGAGGGATGTTTCTTGAATTATTATTTCATCTAGTCTTCATTGAGAATCTGCTTTTAAATTTGGTTTTGTTCTTTTTAAAAAAAATTTTTTTGACTTATGTTTTTATTGTTTCAAATCTTTGTTTTGAATCTAGAAGGAGACAGGAAATACACTGTATGTCTCATAAATTGACCAGAAACTATAAGTCACGCGAAAATTCCATTTTAATTGTGCTGTCTCTTTCTTTTCATAGGTAAAGAGAAATGTATATGACCTTACAAGTATCCCTGTTCGCCATCAGTTATGGGAGGGCTGGCCAACTTCTGCTACAGACGATTCAGTAAGTGACAGTCAAATGCTTAGTTTTGTATTCTCCTCTCACTTTTGCCACTTTCAGTCTAATTGGCTTTGATAATAAGCACAATCAAATGCTTTGAGTGTTCCACTGAAAGAATTATCTAGCTTGGCTTGGTGGCACATGCCTCTAATCCTAGCACTTTGGGAGGCTGAGGCAGGTGGATCACTTGAGGTCAGTAGTTCGAGAATAGCCTGGCCAACATGGTGAAACCCCATCTCTCCTAAAAACACAAAATTTAGCTGGATATGGTGGTGGGTGACTGTTATTCCAGCTACTCAGGAGGCTGAGGCAGGAGAATCGCTTGAAGCTGGGAGGCGGAGGTTTCGGTGAGCCAAGATTGTGCCATTGCACTCCAGCCTGGGCAACAAGAGCAAAACTTCATCTCAAAAAAAAAAAAAAAAAATTTGGAAAGAATTACTTAAACCAAACAATGTGAAAGTAAGAGAAGTTGTAATAATTTGAGTTCACTTTTAGAATGAAATCACAAGCCAAGTAGGCCAACATTCTGTTGGTAATATTACAGTATCAGTGCAAGAATTTGAGGTTGTTTGATTTGATTTATTTTTTTCTTGATGAGATTATATTCAGATACTACTAATGAAATGTTCAAGGCAAAAACATTTTCTTTCCTGAATTACAGATATTTTTAAATCAAGCTAATCATTCTATTTAATTTTAAAACTACCTTTTTCATAGTAGACTGACACTTTAAAAGTTAATTTTTATCATTAATATTAATAGCACTTTAATCTCAAACATACCCATAAATTTCACCATCATAAAAAGCTCGAAGAAAATAGCCTATTTTTACCATTATTATATTTTTATAATGATTTTCCTATTGTAAATTTCGAAGCCTTTCCTATCTCTGTAATTTCTATTCCTTGCTATTTTCTATGAGAGTAAATTTCATCATATGAGGAGGCCTGTTGAAATTAAGTTTTGACCACTTTTCCCCATAAACTTGCTTGTTCTAATCAGATACTTATGTTTTTTAAAAGTTAAAAATAAGAATGTTTCTGGAATTCTCAAGTTACATCTAATTTTAAAAATAAATAGGGCTGAAAAGAAATTGGGACTTTGTAAACATCTCGTAATGATCAATAATGAAATGATAATTATGCCTAAGAATTGAATTACCTCTTCATACTTTCTAATGTTTCTGTCTGGATAATAACTACAGTTCATGCCTCTTCAGCACCATCAGTATATATTTTAATGCAAAGGAATTCTCTGTGGAAGACAGAAATGTTTAAGACCATTTGCTTATGTAGATGCTACTTGAATCTAATTACAATGTGAACACTCTGCCTTTGGAAGATGCTTTGTTAATAAACAGTCTGATTTAAAAATCAGAAACTTTAATAATCAGAAAACAGAAAAACTTTTATTTATGGCCAGGTGTGGTGGCTTACACCTGTAATCCCAACCCTTTGGGAGGCCAGGGTGGGTGGATCACCTGAGGTCAGGAGTGAGTTTGTTTGTTTATAAGATGGAATCTTGCTCTGTCACCCAGGCTAGAGTACGATAATGCACTCTTGGCTCACTGCAACCTCCGCCTCCCGGGTTCAAGCAATTCTCCTGCGTAAGCCTCCCCAGTAGATGGAATTATAGGCGCCTGCCTCAACGCCGGGCTAATTTTTGTATTTTTAGTAGAAACGAGGTTTCACCACATTGACCAGACTGGGTCTGGTCAATTTAACTCCTGACCTTAGGTGATCCTGCCTCCTTGGCCTCCCAAAGTGCTGAGATTGCAGGCATGAGCCACTGTGGCTGGCCGAGGTCAGGATTTTGAAACCAGCCTGGCCAACATGGTAAAACCCTGTCTTTACTAAAAATACAAAATTAGCTGATTATGGTGGCGCATGCATGTAATCCCAGATGCTTGGGGGTCTAAGGCAGGAGAATTGCTTGAACCTGGGAAGGGAAGGTTGCAGTGAGCCGACATCTTGCTATTGCACTCCAGCTTGGGCAACAAAAGCGAAACTCCACATTAAAAACAAACAAAAAGACAAAACCTTTATTTTTAATAAACATTTACAGGAAAAAAAAAACTTTAGGTTTAGGTACTTAAATTTGTTTCTGAAAAACTGATTTTAACATTGATATTATAGTATATGATTAGAATTATTGGCTGGTCATCTATGGCTAAGGATAGGGAAATGTTCTTGGTTTTCTTCTGGTTTTTGTTGTTTTTCTTGCTTGGGTGAGAAATTTGATAGAAAATGTGCTACATTTATTTTTACAAAAATGAAAGAGTATTGTTTATACATGATGGTCTACTGTTTACCTGAGGAGGCGTGTAGAAAACAGAAATCTTAGTATTGTCTAAGAACTTGTTACAAGAAAAAACAATATTAATAGAAGAAAATAATTAAAACCTGAGCATGTCATTAAATTCTCTGAGCTTTAATTTTCTCATCCATTTGCAGAACTATTATGAAGATACGTGATAATATAAGTATAGTACCTGGCTCATAGTAGACACTCAGTAAATGAGAGTCAATATTGTAATTAAGGTAACTTAAAAATGTTATAATTACAGATTACAATTACAGGCAAGAATTGGCTGGTTTAAATGAAGTGGTGTCTGAGATTTGCTTCAGAATAAACTGTGTGTGGCAGATTGAGTGATGCTAGAACTAATTTAGATTAGGCATCTATCGAATCTGGGTGATGTTGTATATTGGGTTTATTATACTATTCTCTCAACTTTTGTATATGTTTGAAAATTTTCATAATAAAAAGCTTAAAGCAAAAATAATTGTCTTGTTTAAGAGCAGGGACATAAGATAATAGAGAAACTCTGGAAATGTGGGGCTTCACAGGGTTGGAAAAGCCGACTGCTTTTGCACCCCACTCTTGTAGAAACCAGACTGAAATTCGCTTATCAGGTACAAGTTCCAAGAGTGATAGGCAAAGTCAATGAAATATGATCAGTTCTTCTGTCTGTAAATAGTGCCTTGTACATTTTAGGTGCTATTCATTGAATTGAGTCGGCATGGTCTTTTATGAGACTCACATTTTAATCATTTTTATAATATATAATTTTTTTGTCAAAGAGTTGTCATGCAGTTTAATTACTATAGGAAAATATGGAAAGCAGCTAAAACTGTTTGTTTCCAAGACTGTAATGCTACTTGGTTCTCTGAAGTCATAGCAAACACAAGAGGGAATCCCCATTAAGAGGCTTGATTCTTTTAGCCTCATTATTCCCATTTGCACCTTGTCCCAGAACCTGTGAAGTGGTGCCTGCCCACACCTCCCCAGAGCAAATGTTGCTGCATTGGCAGGATGTTGCCTTGAGCTTGCATGATTTGATACAACAAAGATGTTTAGGGCCAGGCTGCTTTTAACTGATGCCACGGCAGATTCACTAGCTCCAGTGCTTGAATTTAGCCAATAATGGCTTATAACAAGTATTCCGAGGAGATCCTGGCCAAATAATATGTCATGAAACCTTTCTTTCATTATGAGTATAAAAACTCTTAAAGCTGGTACTTGTAGTGTATATTTCTTGCAGGCAGTGGTGTCTTTATACTTACTGAAATCATTCAAGTGGAGGCATCTGCTACAAAACAAAATAGTCTTCACAGCTTAGGGCATGAATTGGGTACAGCTGAGAAATGTCAGCTGTGTAAACAGCCTGAAATGTGTTACCAACAAAAATATAATTAATTTCTTTCCAAGACAATGTGCCATAACGTAATACTTAGAATGGTTTAACTTTCAGAGAAAGCACCTGAACATTTGCTTCCTAGTGCCAGAGTAGAGGACTGGTTATAAAGGTCATTAAAATTGAGGTTATTTTGTACTTTTACTGGTCAGTTGCTGAAATTTGTATTTTGAATATACAGTAGCCTTAGATATCATTGGGTTCTATGAATTTATGAAAATATCATAGATCAAGAAGTGAATGGATTTGGGGTGATGAAAATGTTCTAAAATTACGGTGGTAAAGGTTGCACATGTCTAAATTTTTTTAAAAATAATTGAACATTTAAAATGAGTGAATTTTATGGCATGTAAATTATCCCTCAGTGAAGCTATTTTTTAAAAAAAGAAGTTAATGAACTAAATTAAAATACTTTCCCACTTACATTTTATCTTGCATGACAAATACTTTGAAATAGCGCAAGAGGCGTTTTGTTCAGTACACTTCTCATTAACCTTTGACTTACCCAACAGGACAAAGAAACAGACCTCTTGTAATCAGATTCTTTTATAATCTTGAGTCTCTTATGAACCTAATAGACTTCAGTCTCGGACATTTTCAGGCTACTGAGTGAAGTCAGTGATCATGTACAACATTGTCGCCCATCTCCCTTCAGAGTTAACATATTTTCTTGCTTGTAGTTGTACTCTAATAGGGTATGGGATACTGTATGAACTATCAGTAACTCAGTTCCTTTTGTACTCTTTTCATCAGGGAAATAGGTATCTAAAGCCTCACCAGTAGGAAAATGTTTTCATGCTGTGACAATTCAGCTGTGAAAACAAGGAGTTACAAGTAGGCAAAATCTCATTTTACACTTGAACAAGGAAGCTCTTGGTTTCTAGAGAGTAGAAATAATTTTAACACTGGGAATTATGTTTAGACACCTTATTATAATGCAGACAATATGAATACATATAGTTCTTTTTAAATTCCAGGATTTAATAATGCTTATACAATTAAAACTCTTTCAGTTTTTTGTTTTGTTTTGTTTTTATTTTTTGTTTTTTGCTTTTTTTTTGAGACAGAGTCTTGCTCAGTCACCCAGGCTTGAGTGCAGTGGTGTGATCTCAGCTCACTGCAGCCTCCACCTCCTGGTTCAAGCAATTCTGCTTCAGACTCCCAAGTAGCTGAAACTACAGGCGTGTGCTACCACACCTGGCTAATTTTTGTATTTTAGTAGAGACAGAGTTTCGCCATAGGCTGGTTTCAAACTCCTGACCTTGTGATCTGCCCGCCGCAACCTCCTAAAGTACTGGGACAACAG